TCTCGCTGTCGCTGTTGGGCTTGACGTTGACCTCCAGGCGCTTGGTCTTGCTGTCGTAGGTCTTGCAGCATCGTGCATATTGAACTTCTTTCAGGAGATTGTGAAGGTATTTGGACGTCTCGGGGCTGCCTTGTTTCATCTTGTCGATGTACTGCTGAAGACTGGTGGCCTTCGGCGGGTCGAGGTCTTTCACTCCAAGAGACGTCTTCGCCACGATGATCCATGCATTCCAGACGTGTACGTGAGGATGAGCGAGGGCTGCGATCTTCTGTTGCTTCTGGTCCTTCCCGTACTGCTTCGCGGCCTCCGCATAGCTCTCGGTAGAATTCTTCCCCTGGGCGAAATACTCGGAGCTCTCGCTCACCTGATAGTTTTCCAATACGATGGCCCTGAGAATCCTCGACGACATAGCAGTACTGAGGGTCAACTTTGCTATGAGAAGAACGAGGGCCTGCAGGTCGTGTTGATTGGCTCCTTTGCGTCGCTCCTTCTGTGGCGGTCTGGCGCCGCCTGCTGCTAGGCCGAGATCCATCAGCACTCTCTGAGGGACCAGTAGGATGAAGAATGCTGAGAGTATCGGATGCTGAGAACTCCAATCTTCTTGGACCAGAGAGATGCTTGGTACGGATATGATGATTGTACACGTATATGTCGTCGCACTCGTAATTGTTGCCGTAGAGCTTGCATATAGCGCATGAATATGTTGTGTCCGATACAATAGGAGGCGAGGGGATAAAGCTCTGGTCGACAATACATCTACCATAATGCCAACTACGCCTTGCGTGATCTTGTGCAATTTTACGAGTAGAGAAGTGTGTAGAACACCATGGACATACTGCCTCTAACACGATGGAGTCTAACGTAATCATGCCGTGCATGGACTGTTCGCGTGCCCGGTGTAATCTGAGTGCTTTCATGGTGGGGAACGTAAGTGTGCATATGTTACCATCAGTGCGCATGAGACCACAATAATATTCACCTGTAGGTAAAGAACATGATGATGTAGTAGGATTTAGCGTGTCATACTCATGGTGATGAGGAGGTATGTTGACTGAGAGGAACTTAGCACGCAATGCTGAGATATCGATCTCGAGAAAGTCTTCCTGCAATGTGCCAGCGTCTAGCAACTGCCGCGGGGATGCATCTTCAAGAAAATAAGCACACTCCAGCAACGATAATGCCTGCAAGTCTTCATTCAGCTGCTGCAACCAAGGGTGAGAAATCGCATCTTCTGGGGGGTCGTGAGGAAAGCGACCGAACATAGCGGTGACGTACAATTGATGGTGAAGAGGATGACTGCATATCTTCTGAAACCATTTCAATCTCTGTATACGTAACTCTGTAAGTGTGTCTGCCATGCCGATGTTGCGCCGCACTTCGATCGATGGAATGGGTCGATACTTAATCGTGCCGTCGTCGAGAAGGGTCTTTTGGGTAGCCTTGCCTTTCATGAGTTTACGTGCCTTGTACAGTATATATTTGTCGAAGATGTTGTAGTCGTGCTGGGCGAGGACGAAAGCTGTGAGCCCTGAGACAAGTGCTGACCATACTGTGCATCGAAATACGAGAACGCGAAAGCGAAGATCAGTGCGAGTGAACCAAAACCTTTTGAATATAAACCATGCTTTGTTGGCAGCTTGTATCCTTAAGTTTCGCTCGACATAGAAGCAATTGCGGTAGTGTAGATATGGCCCGAGATATCGTGCTGCGCTGAGTACTTTGTATTGTGACTGTTGTGCATGTACTTGTCGTTGATATGTATGCGCAAGCGTGCCGACGAAGTGTACGGTGGACTCGCTCTTGCCCGTGTGCTGCGCGATCGTGTACTCGTCGAATATGGTGTTCAGGACAGTGTCGTGCCGTGCTTGAGTATCGTAGAAGCTCGTAGGTGTAGTAACCGTGTACTGCTTACATAGATCGTCGACGAAGGAGGTGATGGACATGTCGATGACGGCCGCATTGAGAGGAGATACGGCCAGTAGATGATGATCTTTCGTTTTTTCCTCCCATGCGTGAACAGCTTGCCAGTACGGTACGTGAAACTCGTTGGTCGCGACACTGTTGCCTTGGAACGTGCCGCTGCGAGGATAAAATTCTGCGGGAATATCCGATGTCTGTAGAACACACGTGGCATGTCGGTGATGCTGTCGTAGTAGCCGTTCGTCCTGTTCAGCGACGTGAACTGGCGTAGCCTCCTCTTCTTCGGGAAAGTCATCGTCGGGTTGAGGCAGCATCAGAAAGTGAGTAGCTTTGTCCATAATGTCATGAGACGGCGAAGCGAACGCGTTGACCACATCGCAGTGGTGATTGGCGATACTGATACCATGTTTGGAGCACCGATGAGAAACCAACATCTTGACAATAATAGCTTCTTCTCGACGGCGGCCAGGAACAGCAAACGCGTGATGAGGTGGAGGCCGCGAAGGTTTGCCAGGCCGACGTAAAAGACCTTTGTGATAAGCCTTGGAAAACGATGATATGCTGTGAACGATTCGAACGTCATCTTTTTTGGGAATTTGAAAACCTTGGCTGCGATGAAACTGAAATGGACTGTGACCAGTAGCCCGTGTCATGTCGAGGATGTGCTGAAGGCGTTTGACGAAAAGCTTCGGCTCGTAAAGTGTGGGATCATGACCAACTCCATGTGTCTCCTGCTTGTAGACTGCCTGGGGCCACAATATCATTTTCCAGACTTCGTTGGGGACATCCCAGGAAGGAGGCGTTCTACGATTTGAGCTTTTTCGTATCCACCAGCTGACTTGTTTGAGGTCATATTCACCAAGTAAGTGGCACTGATAACTAACGTGAACTTCGTCATCATGATCGTCGAAGAATTCCTGACGTACTTGTGAGGTAGGTAAACGTATGCAATTCCAGCCGCCTTGAGAACCAGGTTGAGAAAGTTTGGCAAACCATTCGGCTTCTGAGCGCCGTCGAAGTGCAGCTTTGTGATAATTACGAAGTCTTCGTCCAATGCGTCTGCCTGTAAGAAGTCGTGCCAATTGCCATGCTTCAGCCAGTCGTCGTTGTCGCCAGGCGTCTTGAAGCTCGAGACGTCGTTGTTCGTTAAGTTCTTTGAGACGTGCAGCGTGAAGGCGACGGATATTACGATTGGCACGAAACAGTGATGCCAGATTATGCCAGTGCTGAAACGAGTAGTAAAGAATGCCATGTTGTGAAACGACAGGCGCTTGTAGGCACTGAACTCGTAGCTCCCGTCGTTGTCGAAGTAGCTCTTGACGTTCATGAGAATGCGGTCCAGCTTGTTGAGCCTGCTTGCCGTAATGTGATGCAGCAAGAGGGAGAAGACCTTTTTCAACAAGCATTTCCCATTGTTCAGATGAGCTCTTGTTGGCGATAGCATCAAGTACGAAACGGTTGTCCTCGGTCCACTTGTCAAGAGCGATGAGAAACTGTTGTCTTTTTGAACCCTGCATAACAGATTGTACAAGTCGGTCGAAATCCCAGCGAACGTGACACTCTGCTTCTTGCCCTTCGTATCGTAGATTGTGCTCAATGAGCGCATAGACTGGGTGATGATCGACTCGACGCGTGTCAGGAACCAGCTGCAAACGATCCCCAAGAGAACGTAAAGTCTGACATTTGCGAACGTGCTGCGCCAAATAGAAACTGCGAGGCACAATGATGAAATCAATGTAACTTGAGGAGCCAGACACTCCATGATAATATGTGGGGAAGGTGGGGTAGAACGTGTTGAGTAAAATCAAGTCATGCTTGAGAAGAAACTCTATGAACTGATGGGTGCGAGGTTGCTGAAGACTCCTGTTAAAAGGCCCAGTGCAGGAATCGTCGGTAGGTGTGGGGCCCGCTGGGGTCCTGATGAGCCCGATATGCTCATTAGAGTCGATGCCCAGCACAGGTAGTGTACGGGATGGTAGGGAAGAATAAAGTTCTTCAAGCCACGCCAGCGTTTTTTGATAATCTCGTCGGGATCTGGCCGTGTCCGTGTTGGGGGGGAGGTAGGCGGAGACGAAGGTGATGTCCGACTGGTGACTTTTGCATCTGACAGCGCCCCCCCGGCCCCAGAGATACTGCTGCTTAGGGTAGGACACGGAGATGATGTTAGACCTCGAAAACCTCTGGGAAGCTAACGCGATAGTGACGCCAGTATGTGCATTGCCTTGTTTAGGATGATACCCAAAATGAAGTTGATGGTATTCAGCAGAAGTATGTGTATCACATGGATCTTGTTCATGAACGCGACGACGTGTGCCCTGGATGAGTATGACGCTGGTGCGTAACGTGCGAGATATGTCCTGGAATCTGTCATGCTGCAGCATGCTGAGACAGTTGTAAGAGGAAAGGGAGAACGTGTGAGCGACCATGGTGCACGTGCGAGTAGAAAGCGAGTGCTCACCACCCGTATGCCATGTACGCGAGTATAGACGCAGATACGGTGACAGGTATGCCCAGCAAAAGGGGTGTGCTGAAATGGGCTGAGGAGGAGGAGGAGGAGGAGGAGGAGGAGGAGGAGGAGGAGGAGGAGGACTAGTAGGAGGAATAATAGGACTCCTCCTCCTCCTCATCATCATCATCAGCATCAGCATCAGCATCAGCAGCATCATCATCAGCATCATCATAATTCTCAGCATCAGCAACAGCATCAGCATCATCATCATCATCATCATCATCATCATCATCATCATCATCATCATCATCATCATCATCATCATCATCATCATCATCATCATCATCATCACCATCATCATCATCAGCATCATCATCGTCGTCATCATCAGCATCAGCATCACCAGGGGGTCTCAGGCGGCCGCTCAGGACGAGCAGGGCGCCCCCAGAGCGCTCTCGGCGAGGCGCGGCCGCACGGAAGCACCCAGAGGCCGGAAAACGGCCGGGAACTGACAGAAACGTCCGAATACCGACGACGACGACGACGACGACGACGACGACGACGACGACGACGACGACGACGACGGCCGCCACACTTTCCCTTCACGGCGACGGCGGCCGCAAGACCGCTCCTCGCGCTGGCGCGCGCCTCCGCCGGCACCGCCCCGACAAAGGCCTCGAGGACCTCGGAGCTCTGCCTTGTCGGGCGGGCGCACAGCGCGGGGCAGAGGCAGAAGGGCGGATTTCGGAAGCCCTGAACCCAAAAACGAAGGATTGCAAAAAAACCCAGGATTGCAAAAAAAAAGTTTGTTTTGCAATCCTGGGTTTTTTTTGCAATCCTTCGTTTTTTTTTTTTGCAATTCTTGGGTTTTTTTTTGTTTTTGCAATGTTTCGCATTTCTAACTTCCGCCACCTTCCGCCAGCCTTCCGCTGGCTTCCGCCGGCGGGGGCGGCCTGTTCTGCTTCCGCCAGCCTTCCGCCGAGGAAGGCATTACAACTCCTGCGAGCCTCGAAGGCAAGGTCTTCTTTGGAACGCCTCATATAGCTTGCTACAGAAAGCCGCGCGTACGGTATAAGACATACAGCCAGGGCATTGAACAAGGAAACCTTGGACCAGGAATCCAAAGTCTGAAAGCTGGTTGAATTCGAATCGTGGAGTGGACATCGATATCATCGCCGCCCCCTTTCGATAAGAAGCCCTCCAGTGTCTGAAGCTTCTTGGGAACATGTCTTAACGAACACCCTCGCCGCATCTTGCTATCTTACTCCTTATATATCTAATGAGAATGATTGGGCCACGTATTTCGTCGACTATCAACTCCCAGGGTACCCCGAGCTGCTGTGGGCCCCAGGGCCATCGTGGCCGGGAGAAAAGCTGGCAGGCCGGTTTCTTTATTGACGTGCCTGTTGTACGGGCCAACATTGGGTTGGAGGAGGATCGTTCGAACCTGCCGCAGGAAGAAGCCAGCAGCGCGCCGAACGGGGAGGCCAGAGAGGGAAGGCCTTCTCCAAGGCGACGAGGCCTCCCAGGAGCCGCCCGGCCTCCTGAAACGTCGCGTCTCCGGCGCAAGCCCAGAAGATTGCGCAGAAGGCCGGAGGCCTCCAAAGCCTGCTGAGGAGGCCGACCCCATTCTGCGTCGTCCCTCCTGGAGGCGCCGCCGAGGGAACAACGGGCACGTGCCAGGTTGTGGCCTCGACGACGAGGAGGAGGAGGAGGAGGAGGAGGAGGAGGAGGTCGAAGGTCGAAAGGGAGGTTCTCGGGCGCTCGGGGAACCATGTCGGGCCTCCGCAGACCTCCTGCTGGGCACTTTCGGAAGACCTCCAAGGACCTCAGAGGGGTTCAGGATCCAGGGCGGGGGCGTATCTTACCATGGGCATCCAGCTAGGCTCGTTCCCTAACCGTTCCCTCGGGTATGGTGTGGGGGCGCACAGGTACCGACATCGCTACCCCGCAAACATCTCCAGGGAGAGGTTCTGACCAGGATTTCGGCGGCAACGAGGGTCTCCCAGGAGGCCATCATAACAGTCTTTGGTGGGCCTCTACGTGCTCCGGGACGCTCTTTCCACTGCACTGGGGACACGAAGAGGTACCGATACCGCTACTCCCCGGACCTCTCCCGGGGTGCGTCCTGACCAGAACTTCGAGGCGAATCCAGCGGTGGTGACGAGGGCCGCCCAGGAGGCCCAAAAAGGGGGAACGAGGGGAGGGTAGAGGTATGGGTGCCAGTTCCTCCTCCTCCTCCTCCTCCTCCTCTTCCTCATCGTCCTTATCCTCCTCCTCCTCCTCCTCCTCCTCCTCCTCCTCCTCCTCCTCCTCCTCCTCCTGCTGGACGTAGGCGGTCTCCGACCCGCCGCCCCCTCTGCGAGCCCCTGGGCGCCTGCGCGGGTCCAGCGGCGGGGCGGGAGCGCCCGGCTCCCGGAAGGACTGCAGCCACTCGGTCCACGGCCTCCGCAGGGGGGCGGCCCGCCGCCAGTGGCCAGGCCGGGGAGAGGAGGACTTCGGACGGTCCTCCTCCTCCTCCTCCTCCCCTTCTCATTCCTCCTCCTCCTCCTCCTCCTCCTCCACCCTCCTCTCCCTCCTTCCTCCCTCTCCGATCCCCCCCCACTCCCTCCCTCCCCTCCCTCCCTGCCCTCCCTCCCCCCTCCCTCCCTCCTCCATCTCTGCTACCTCCTCCCATCCTCTCTCCTCCCTCATGCTCCTCCTCCCCCTCCTCCTCCTCCTCCTCCTCCTCCTCCTCCTCTCCCCCGTCCTCCTCCTCCTCCCTCCTCCTCCTCCCTCCTCCTCCTCCTCCTCCTCCTCCTCCTCCCTCCTCCTCCTCCTTCTCCTCCTCCTCCTCCTCCTCGGCCTCCTCCTTTCTCCTCCCTCATCCTCCTGCTCCTCCGCCTCCTCCTCCTTCTCCTCCATGGGTGCAGAAGGAACACACGAATCCTTTGATAGGGAGGAGGAGTGGGGAAATAGCAAGGCGATCAATAAAGGCGCTGTAGGTATGAACGCGAGGTGTCGGACTCCGAGAGGGGCTTCCGTTCGAGCGGGGGGCCCCATCCGACAACACACACACACACACATGGACCCCCCAGGAATTCCACTCCGAGAAATCTAGGGGCCGCAGAGATATGGGTTATAGTTGCCAGTTCTGGAACAACGCTTCCCTGTCCCATAGCCCCGCCTGGCTCCTTGCCAGAGCTCCAACGATATGATGTGTATCGATCATCTAGGTGCTTCCCAATTTCGGCGTCTGGGGACCTTTATCGAGCCTTGGCCCCGGGACCACCAACAACGAAACTGGGACGAAGAACTCCCCCAGGGAAGGGGTTGGAACCTCTGGGGCTGCGGCTTGAAAACAGATCGGCGGACGCCTGGACTGTGCTCCCCCTCTCTTCCTCCCTCCCCTTCCTTCCTCCCTCCCCTTCGTATTCCTTTCCCTCCTTGTTCTCCTCCTGATCCTCCTTTTCGGTTGCAATCCCTGGACATAAAGCTGTACGTCTGTTGACTTCTTCTGAGAAAACTGCACGCGTGATGTCAAACTCGAGCTCTCAGTACTGACGTTCAAAAGCGGAGAAGCCCCCTTCTCTCCCCACCCCCCTACCCCCCCTCCCCCTCCCCATCCCCCTCCTCCTCCTCCTCCTTCCTCCTCCGCCTCCTCCTCCTCCTCCTCCTCCTCCTCCTCCTCCTCCCCCTCCCTCCCCAGTACCCGGCCGCGCCCCGCAGGCCCCCCTGCCGAGGAGAGGAGAGTCGAGAAGCTCGGTCTCTGGGAGATCTGGCCAAGCCTTGCCCCTGGAGCTCGGAACACCGGGGAGGCGAAGAGGCAGTGCGGCAGGCGCGTGCCGTCATGGTCCCGGCGCTGGCTTCTGACACGCTGTGGATCGGTCATTCAACCTTGCACGATCGGTGGCTTTTCGACCGCCAGATCGTGCCATATTGTAACAGAATCTGGGCCACTGGTGGCGTTCAGCAGTTCAACCTTGAACGGCCGCGGCGGGGTCGCCGCCGAGTCGACACGGCGAGAACCTGCCGTAGACAGAACCCTTTGGTGGGGCAGTTCGGAGCCGGGCGCCGAGCAGCGCTGAGACCAAGACCGCTGGACCTGGGGTGGGCGGTCAGTTCAGCTTACGCGACACTCTTTCCTGCCCGGCCGGGCCCTCGGAACAGGAGGGCGGGGAAGGAGGAGGGAGTGATGAGGATGGCAAGGGGGGAGGACGAGGAGCAGGCAGAGGAGGGAGGACACGCAGGGAAGATGACGACGATGAGAAGGGAGGAGGAAGCGGAGGAGGGAGGAGGAGAAGGGAGTAGGAGGAGGAGGATGAGGCAAAGGAGGAGGAGAAGGCGGAGGAGGAGGAGGAGGAGGAGGAGTGGGAGGGAGGACGAGGAGAGAGGAGTCAGAAGGGACAGTGAGGAATGCAGAAAAGGATGAGGACGGAGGGGGATCAGGAGGATGACGATGAGGACGGAGGAGAACAAGGATGAGGAGGAGGAGGAGGAGGAGGAGGAGGAGGAGGAGGAGAGGAGGAGGAGGAGGGAGGGGCATCGAGAGGACGACGAGAAGGACGAGGCGGGGGGGGGGGGGGCGAGGCGCCCTCCCCCGCCCGGGCCCCGGGCCGGGGGCCTCCCCTCTGCGTCGCGCGCCCCCTGCTTCTGCAGCCACTTCACCGCCGCCGCAAGCTCCCGCTGCTCGTAGCGCTCGGCGCTCGGCTCGGCGCCCGCCATGGGCGGCGGCGGAGGGGAGGGGGGAGGGAAGGAAGGGGGGGGAGAGATGGGCGAGGAGGAACAGAGGGACAACTAGGAGGACGGGAGGGAGGGAGGGAGGGAGGGGGAGGGGGAGGGAGGGGAAGGGAGGGAGGTGGGGAGAGTGGTGCTCGGACGAGGGAGCAGAGGGCGGGATGGCTGGCGGGAGACGAGGGGGATGAGGAGGGGGAGGGGAAGAGGGACGAGGCGAACGGAGACGTGACGGGAGGAGGAGAACTCGGAGGCTCGAGGTACGCATGGGAAGGTGACAGAGGAGGAGGAGGAGGAGGAGGAGGAGGAGGAGGAGGAGGAGGAGGAGGAGGAGGAGGAGGAGGAGGAGGAGGAGGAGGAAGGGCGGAGGAAGGATGGAGGGAGAAACGGAGACGGAGACGGGAGGGTGGAGGGCCAGGATGCTATAGGGATGTGGAAGGCAGGGGATCAGACGAGGTTGGGGAAAGGCGGGAGGAGGGAGGGATGGGGGGATGGTGCGACAGAAAAAACGGCTGGCTGGTGGCCTGGTTGCTGACTTCGGGTCCCGTGGGGACGGTGCTTCGGAGAGCCCCTCGGCCGGAGCCTCGTCACGGCCTCCAGGCTCGATCACCCCAGCGCCCTGCCGAGGGAGGAGGGGATGAGCCTCGGGAGGGAGGGAGATCCCCACCCGCCAGAGCACGCTCCCCTCCTCTCCACGACACGGCTCTGGGCATGGTGGTGCCAAGAGCAGGGCGCAGACGAATCCCCTCGGGCCTACCCGCCAAACCGCGCGCGCGACCTGCCGCAACGAGCCGCTGGATTGCGGTGAGCGCGGGATGCTCCCCGAGGAGACGATCCCCCAGGAGGGGGCCTGCCGCGGCGGAGCCACCTCTCGCGGGAGAACACGAGGAACAACAGAAAACGCTTGTCACCGCCCTGCAGCCCCCTAATTCCCCTCCCGCACGCTCGGCGGCGGGGGAGGAGGAGGAGGGTGAGGGGGAGGAGGAGGAGGGGGAGGAGGAGGAGGGGAGGAGGAGGAGGAGGAGGAGGAGGAGGAGGAGGAGGAGGAGGAGGAGGAGGAGGGAGGAGGAGGCGAAGGAGGAGGAGGAGGAGGAGGAGGAGGAGGAGGAGGAGGAGGAGAAGCAGGAGGAGGAGGAGGAGGAGGAGGAGGAGGAGGAGGAGGAGGAGGAGGAGGAGGAGGACAGTCGCCGCCTGCGGGACCCTCCCCCCTGGCGCCCCCGCGAGGCGGCGACGAGCGCGGTGAAGGCTGTCCGCAAGGCCCAGGCCGCGCCGGCGGGCGCCCGGCGGCCGCGCCGCGCCCCCGGCGGGGGGGATTTCCGTGCCGCCGTCGTCCCCTGCCGCTGGCCCGCGGCGGCCGCCGCCAACGTCAGCGCCTACGCCTGCGCCAGCTTCGACGCTGTGGGAAAAACACACACACACACACACACACACACACACACACACACTCACACACACACAGTGGGGAAAACCGCACACACAGTCTGTGGGAAAAAATCACACACTGTGGGAACAAAAACACACACTGTGAGGAAAACACACACACACACACACTGCGGGAAAACACACACACACACTGTGGGAAAAAAACAAACTGTGTGTGTGTTTTTTTTCCACAGTGTGTGTTTTTCCCACAGACGCCAGCACCGGCGCCAAGAGGAACTACGAGGAGAGCCCCAGAAGAAGAGGAAGCGCCACAAGCAGAAGCGTTTGGCGCTCCGCGCGGGCTTCTTGGATCTACGCTGGACCCCCCTCCCTGGCGCGCGGAGCGCGCCAGGGGCGGCGCCGGAGGCGCCACGTGGGGGTCCAGCGCAGATCCAAGAAATCCGCGCGAAGCGCCAAAGGTTTATGTTTTCCAGCGCATCCCTATGCGCCGAGACCTGGCCGCACAGTGCGGAGACGACTCGGATACGCGGCCAGAAGAGGACAACCCACTCGAGGAGATGATGTCACCGCCATCGCCAGACACGCCAAGAACTCCTACGCCAAAAACAATGGGCTGCGTAACAAGCAACACAGGGGGGGCCTGCAGAACATGCATGAGCATGATTCCGAGGCCTGCGTAAACGCCAACACCTGCAACGACGAGGGCATCTGCCAGAATCCCAGGTACACCATCATACAGGTGCCCCAGCCCGACTCCCAGCCAGAAGACCCGCACGATGCCCTCAATAGCAAGGACGACAACGGTCCATGAGTCCTCTCGCCCCTCATCTCCGCGAGCCTGCGCTACCAACACGACAGCCAGCAAACTAATTACCAAGAGACGCTCGAGGCTTCCGCAGCCGCGTGCCCGAACGACGAACAGCTGCAGCCACGCCCGGAGGCGCCGCTCGAAGGAGACCGAGGACTCCCGCGCCGGCACCCACGCCTGCGCTTGCCCAGCCACCGACACCACTGGCGAGAGCCTGAGGTGGGAGGTACGGAAGGGTGGGGGCCCAGGCGGAGGAGAAGGAGGCGGTGGGGGCGGAGGAGGAGGAGGAGGAGGAGGAGGAGGAGGAGGAGGAGGCGGAGGAGAGGAGGAGGAGGAGGAGAGAGGAGCGAGGAGGAGGGGGAAGAGGAGGAGGAGGAGGAGGAGGAGGAGGAGGAGGAGGAGGAGGAGGAGGAGGAGGAGGAGGAGGAGGAGGAGGAGGAGGAGGAGGAGGAGGAGGAGGAGGAAGAGGAGGAGGAGCAGGAGGACGAGGGGGAGGGGGAGGAGGATCCACGCCGCCATCCGCCGGCACAGGCAGCCCGCGGGGTCGGCCCCGCGTGGCCGACGCGAGCTGCACACGAGGCGCCGAGGCGTGGCCGCTCCCCCTCCGCAGCGCGCCTCCGCGCGGGCGGAGACCCCGTCGGACAGCGAGGGCCGCAGCGGCATCCTACAGTCGAGCGCCCGGCGCCTCAAGCACCGAGGAGGGCGCCCGGAGCGGCCACCTGCGGCCTCTTCGGGCACACAGCCGGGCCGCCCAGGTCTCGCCAGCGACCTGGGCGGCCAGTCCCTGGGCGAAGGTCGGCTGGTGGTGAACAAGTGAGGCCCCCGCCCCCCCGGGGCGGATGAATTCGACTCCGCGGGGCGCGAAACACTCTTTTTTAACCGCGCGCGCCAGGGGGTCGTCGCGGGCGCGGTCGAGGGGATCGTGTAACCCCCCGCGCGGCAGCCTCAAACGAATCCATTTCGCATAGAAGTTGTTGTGGGGAGCGTGTGCATCCGAAGCGAAGCCCTTCCCCCTCTCAAACTGATAACTGATGTGCCACAGTCGTCGTCGTTGTCGTTGTCGTCGTCGTCGTCGTCCTCGTCGTCGTCGTCGTCGTGGTCGTGGTCGCGGTCGTCCTCGTCGTCGTCGACTACAGCGGGCCCGGCCTACGCAGCCCCGCCCATGGAGCATCCGCAATGCGTCTTCGTCGTCGTCGTCGCCGTCGTCGTCGTCGTCGTCGTCGTCGCCGTCGTCGTCGTCGTCGCCGTCGCCGTCGCCGTCGCCGTCGCCGTCGCCGTCGCCGTCGCCGTCGCCGTCGTCGTCGTCGTTGTCGTCGTCTTCGGCGTCGTGGTCTGCGTCGTCTTCGACTACAGCGGGCCGAGGCAACACACACACACCCAATCCATGGGGCTTCCGCAGATCGCCGTCGTCGCCGCCGTCGTCGGCCGCCGTTGTCGTCTTGCTCGTCCTCGTCCTCGAACTCGTCCTCGCCCTCGTCGTCGTCGTCGACGACTAGAGCGGGCATGCGCAGCACCCCCGCCCCAACCCCTCATGGAGCATCAGCAGTGCGTCGTCGTCCAACGTCGCCGTCGCCGTCACCGTCACCGTCGCCGTGTCGCCGTCGCCGTCGCCGTCGTCGCCGTCGTCGTCTTCGCCGTGAGAAGGAGGAGGAACCCTTTCCGCCTGCTCCTTCCGCTCCTCACTGTTTCTTCCCTTTTTGCTTGTAGCCATGTCGGCACCGCCCGCCAGCTGAGGCGCCTCTTTCCCCCGCCTCCTCTTTCTCGCTGGTCTGTAGCCATTGTGGCCCAAACGCCCCGCTATATTGGAGGCGCTGCTGTCCCCTCCGCTGAAGCGGCGCCGCTTGCGTCGCGCCTGTCGGCCGGGCGTCGGCGCTAATCACCGGCGCCGCCGCCGCGTGTTTCAATTTAGCGTGCACCCCCCCCCGCGATACGCCCGAGCAGAGAAACCTATTTTTAAATCACTCGCCCGCCCATGTTTTCCCTAATGAGTGCTTGCACTGAAAGGGTCCCAGCGGAAATTGAAAGTTTGGCGAAAGTGTCCCGCCGATTTTGGTGGCTGGCTGGGTTCCCTGGTTTTCGGTTCCGGGTTCCCGGGCTCCTGGTTATTGGTTCCGGGACGATTCCGGTGGGTTCCGGGTTCCCGGATTCCGGGTCGATTGCCTTATCGATCTTTGTATCGATCCAATTTCAAACCATCCACTGATTGGGGTTTTCTCTGGTGGTTTTGTTCAGCACAAGCTGACCTTGCGGTACTATCCACTTCGACGTCCCCGGCTCCGCCCAGAATGCCATCGGCTATATGCCGCGCGCCCAGAGCGCGGCATGCACATCGGCCCCACGAAGGCCCACGTCTCCGCCTAGCCTACCGCAACACCGACGTTGGCGCGGAGGCGGAGGAGGAGGAGGAGGAGGCAAAGGAAGAGGAGGAGGAGGCGGAGGAGGAGGAGGAGGAGGCGAGCGTGCCAGGCCCTGCTGATCACGAGGGCGTGCCAGGCCTTGTTGCTGCTGGTGGGTCCTCTCCACAAGCCCGGGGAGGAACAGATCGCCGCTGCCATGCAGTCCCTTCGCGAAGACGAGAGCGGCGAACACTTTGCACGACAGCTCCGGGCGTCCCTCGCGCGAGGGCTGCCCATGATCATTCGGGACACAGCGCCGAGCGCCCTCCTTGTGCATCACTGTCGTGGGAGGCGTGGAGGTTCCGAGTGAACCGCCAAACGCCAGGGCTGATGGGCATGTTTTCCACCACCACCACCGCCATAAGTTGGAGGGGGAGGGGGTCCTCCTCCTCCTCCTCGTCCTCCTCCAACTCCTCCTCCTCCTCCTCCTCCTCCTCCTCCTCCACCTCCT